CAAGGCACCTGCAGCATCGTGTGTGGGTTCCAAAGTCGAGTAAAGTCACAGGAATGCGCTTGTATTCCGCCCGATATCTGCAATTCACCACCATTTGCAAAAATTAATCATTTGTTATTTTTCATCTTCTAAATGATTATACCTGTATCAATTAAATCAAATAAAAACAACGCATATCATTCATTTTTCGTGACAATATGAATAACGATTTTTAATCTTTTATTGAAGATTAACGCTATGCTTGCTGCTGGCCTCGTGGTCAACCGATAACCTTACCTATGAAACAGCCCAAACAAATAAGGCAAGTAGTACGTTACGTGCACAACTAATGCTTTCGGAAAAGCTCTCTGCTTAGAGGAAATGCAACTACGATTTGACAAGCGTCTCTTCCGCCATTCACCAATCCTGGCTGCTTTATTCTGACAATGTAATCCGTTGATTTCAAGGCATACAATCGTTTTTATTTTGCTTGTCAGAATACCTATAAACTGTGATTTCTATTCTTACAATCATAATTTTCATTGGTATAATTTTGCTAATATTCTCTTGGTTTCAATTAGGTGGAAAAAATTGGCTTCAAGGAAGTTCCTGTTGGATTGCTTCAACGTCAGGTACTGCTCTCCTGTAGGTACGTCATGCTCAAGTATTATTTTATAGGCGCAGCTGCTTTACCTAAAAAATCACTCTCGGGGACCACTACCAACTGGAAGAACAACAGTAATGCCGCAACTGTCAACGTGGTGCGCGACAGCAAGATGACGCATCATCCCTCTTCATTTGCATTTTGGTGTGCTGTTAGCATTCAGGCGGTGCTACGGTCCAAGAAGGCGGAGTAGCAGGCCGGCAGCAAGGAGTAGGCCGGTTGGGTGCTTGACTGTCTGACTGACTTACTAACTCACTGGGTCTGCAACCGTGACAAAGGCCATACGAAGAGCACCATAAACAGGATAATTGATCATCTGCGGTGCTGATCGACGGATGAATAAATGATTTACTGGCTTGCATCTACTTTTCACTGTCGTATGTGTGTAAACGAGCCACATAAATTTGTTTAACATTATTTTTGACAAGATGTCATCAAATTGTGTCTAATAGCCATTATGATGCAGTTGATCGAAACTACTAGTTATTTTTACCTCTCTCATTTGCCCTTAAAGTTAATATATTTTCGTTATAGGGAGAATATGGTTAAAAGCACCTCCAATAGATACTTTTCTAGTGCAACTAGCCAGTGAGTACATCAAGTGAGTGACGAAGTGGGGTAGAGCAGACTTGCTGTCAGTGAATATCCTTTCCTGCGGATCAGTAAAGAGATGCAGAAATGCATTTGAAATCTTGTCAGTGATTGACATGGTTTTGCGGATTGAATACATCTATCAGCAATGTTATTTATGAAAGTATAGTACAGCAATCACGCTTACTCATTTTTAAACTGAATATGCCAAATGCACCCATGTTGATGGTGCTAAAGTATCGGTGGCATTGAGTATTACATCACGAGGGTGGAAACAGGCCTTTCAACAGTCACTGATGCAATGGTTACACCGATACTTGGTGGAGCTGCCAGTGATAATTCGTAATGAATTTAGAAAGGGAGGATGGCACAGCGGTTGTGGCATTACACTCAACCCCTTGCATGTAATGTCCAAAAAGGAAGACCTATCAAGTCTACTGATAGCAAGAAGCTTCTCCATTATTTAGAGTTACAAAGCATAAATAATTTTAATGGTGTCTGTAATGCTATTTACACTTCGGTGAATATGGCAGAAACATGCAGTAGTTAGATTTGCACTTTTGTGTAGGCATTTGCTGGTCAGATTCCACCCTGTTCACAGCTTTTACTAAGTAGCAATCAGTAGTGTGCACCTCAATAAGAAACTTTCAACTGGGGTAAATTTGGAATCCGGGCTCTGATCCATTTCAACACACACGCACGCATGCATGCACAGGGTTTCTCAACTGCAAAGATCGCTACAGATTGTGGGTACAAAGTCCTGTGTTATTACCCACAGCAATATTTGGCATGTGATTGCCACGCTGTTAGGGGCATATTTGAACATTGAACTATTTCCACTATGCTCGTAGGAAGATTATTGTTTTTAGCGATGCCATCGTCAGACATCCTTCCTCTAACCTAGAGGCTCTAAATGGAAGGACAAAAGGAGGGGAGGATGGACGAATGTGTGCATGTCTCCAGGAAAAGTCGGCCCAAGAATTTGTGACCTTCAGACCCACTAATGACTGAGTAATCAACCGAAAGCAGATAAGCACCCACCTACACTTGACAATGCGTATTGCCTGCATCAATATTATTTGAGGTAAAATCCACTTTCTATTCTTCCGTTTCGTACACTTTAAATGCTACACCGACATTGGGTCGTGTTCTGTGGGGATGGTTTAATCTCTTGCTCGATGCACACAAATGCATGGAAGTCAAGGAATGGCTTTGAAATGGCAAGACAATGAGGAATGGTTGAATAGGTGGATGCATTCGCATCCACTAATCCATCAGGAATGGCGGCTTTTAAAGCAATATAGAAAGAATGAATGTGGAAAACACAACGGTGTCACAACGGAGGCCTAGCATCCAAAACTTATAAGTGAATGCGTAAACAGATCAAAATGAACAAAATTGGCTACAGGGCAACGCTTATGCGCATCAGTGACTTTTCCATTGGACGTTTTAAAGACTCTTGACTACAAAGCAAATACAAATGC